TCTTCAAATTTGAAATTAGAAACTCTATTATTTCAATTTATAATTATCAAAAAGATCTTATTTAGATTAAGGAAATCTTCTATATGTAAATTAAGAAATACCTAATGAATAAGGAATTTCAAACTAAATGAAATTATATAAATATTTGAGCTAATAATAGCTTTTTTAATTTTGTGTATACCTCTTTAAAGACCCCCCTGAGTACTATTGGTAGGTAAGTCTCCGTTCAAGAAATCCAGCGATGGCGCTAAGATTACGAAATTTTTGATTCGCGATAAGAAAATATATGATATCTCTTCATCCCAGGTTTCGAAGCATCATCCATCCCTCCACCAGTTTTTCCCATCATCCTCCAATATCCCCTCAACATCCGCAATCACGATCGCATCACCTCGAAATGAACGCCCACGCGCTCCTAACCTCTCAAGGTTGGCGCGGATCCGGGCACTCCCTCCACCACAGCTCCGACACCATTGGACTTTCGCGGCCACTGCTCGTGTCGAAGAAAGATAATGTATTGGGATTGGGAAAAAAACAACACAAGACTTCTGATATGTGGTGGCTGAACGCTTTCGATGCGTCGCTGAAGGGCTTGGATACGAGTAAGGAGGGACAGGTTAAAGTGCAGGAAGGGGGGAAATTGGAAATGGTGGTTAAGGGAGGGAGTAAGTGGGTTGGGGGCAAGGGGGGGTTGTATAGTTTTTTTGTGAGGGGTGAGACGGTTGTGGGGACGCTTGAGGATAGGGAGAAGGAAATTGTGGAGATTTTGATTAAGGAGGAGAAGAGGGGAAAGGGGAAGGATAAGGATAAGAAGAGGAAGGGGGAAGAGAGGAAAGAGAGTAAGGAGGAAAGGAGGGAAAGGAAGGAGAAGAAGAGGGCGGATAGGGCGAGAAAGGCTGCTGTCATAGATGCGAAGAATATCAAGACAGAGGAGAAAGCCAAGGCACAGAGTGCCAAAGTGGCAGATTCGGAAAAGACAGAAACGAAGGAGGAACGACGAGAACGAAAGGTACGAAAGGAACAAAAACGACAAAAGAAATCATTGCGACGATCAGAAAAAGAATCATCAGATACATCATCAACGTCAGAAATCACCAAGAAGAAGAAGAAGTCACGGAAGGACAATTAAAAAGTTACACGCTGTATAATCTACGTTTCAGCATAGCAAAAGGCGTTTTGGGGTACGGAGTTTTGTGGTCACGGTAGTGATCCTGGCGTTGCAGATAATGTATGGTATCTTAATTAGACTTGTGGAATTCTAATCCTCGACCTATGGCTCTTTGGGTATCTTTCCAGGCTTGTTCGATAAAAGCCATGGTCTTCTCTGCCAGAATTCGTCTCTGATGATATCTACATGTTCCACCGTGATTCTTGCCTTTGCTCTCCTCTTCCTATCTTTTTCTTCTTGGGTTTTTGAGAGTTCTTTCTGCTTAATGGTTTTTGCTGAGTCTTCATCAGTTGTTTTTGGCACTCCCGGTTCCACTAACTCGTACTATTCTCATATCAATTTTTGGTCAAGAAAGTTGGGGTGAGGGTAATGGCTTACATCTCGGAAAATCACGCTCCCCTTTTTGTAGATTTCGGGCTCATTATTATAATTGATCCCAAACCTCGAGAACAAAATCTCATTCTTATTCGCAGACAAAGATCCCTGAAATTTACAAGTCAATAAGTATGGAAATCAACCACCATCGGAGAACTACGAAACTTACAGCAAGTTCCTTCTCCGCGGACTGTGCATCTAATCCTCCTTGTTGAATCAGGGTCCAAAAAGTGGTGTTGTAAAGATTGTTTATGTGACCTTCTCTTGTCAGTACCAGCTCGAGAGCAACCCGACAAGGGTAGAAGTGAGAAGGAGAAAAAATTCTTACAATCCACCTGTCTCCAACTCATGTAATCCCGCAAGTTCTGCACACTAGGATACTGCACCGCTCTACCATCAAAACTAGGCAATGGCGCCGTGAGTTGCATATCTATTTCTGGAAAATAGGTATTCCAGAGATGAACATAGTATGCTGTGAAAGTAGATACTATTGTTGTGACGAGTTTACTAATATTTAACATCAATTTTTATTTTTAGTCAAGGACTTCGTCAAGCAAAGAGTTTAAGGGCAAAAGAAGAGTCATACCTCGAGCGTCTCTCAAAAAGCACACAAGATTTATGAAAAACAAAACTATCATCAAATCATTAACAAAAGCCATTGAATAAAAGCCAGTTTTAGAAATACGACGAACCTGTACTCATCACTAATCCCATAGGCAATGACAATATCCGGTATTTCCATCATGACCGCTTTAGCAGCCGCATTCATCAGATCCAGCGCTCTCCTATCATTCGGTTTCTCGAATGCATATTTATCCGAGAACCTATGAATCTCAGCTTTGCGGTACATGTCATGTATTGTATTTGAGCAGCCGAACGGCTTATGGATTATGGAACTTGAAGAGGTAAAGCATACTTATGAAATCCCCGACCATCAATACGGACTACGATCCAGGTATTTGGGATGAGCAGATCAGGTTGCTCGAAGGCTTTCACATATTCATATCTAGGATATTCATGAGCTAAATCGATATGTGAGGAGTATTTTTTTTGACAGTTTACTTACTTTGAATTCGCCATATTTTCTCTCTGAGATTGGTGTGAAAATGTTGTTGATATATCACAAGAGGTTGGAGGGGTAGTTTGAGGTTTGCATCAAAAAAGATGTAGTCAAGCGAGGTCTCAGAGGAGACAGCAGCTGAGCATGGCAACAACCTTTCCAATGTACCGAAACTCATTGCTTACCGATACTGTACATGGTATTGACTCGGTGTGAATTCAAAAGGTCTTAATAATTGAGAAATTAACTAAAACAAAAAGCCTAAAAGCTCCGGCAACTTGTCACCAACTCCCCTTCCCATCCATCCCAAACCAACCATAAAGCCACCACTAATCACGTGTGGTCCACATTCCAACTGATCCACAGTCCGATAAGAGTTCTCATTCGGCAATGAATTCACATTTGCAATATATATAGGAATAAGAGATCCCTAATATCATAAAATGGTAACCCTCCTATGGTGTAATGGTTAGCACGTCGGATTTTGATTCCGGAGATATTGGTTCGATTCCTATTAGGAGGTTCTCTCAAAGAACATTCCTTCCTTCCATACTCAGTTTAAAGCTGAGATCAAAGGGTGCCTGATTTTTTACCTCTTTTTATTTTTATTTTTGGTTCCATCTTTTGGATCTGGTTGCTTGCCACTGAGTATGAGCTATGAGTTTCTTTTGTTCCTGCTGGTCCAGCTAGGATTTATTCAATCAACAACACATTGCTTATATCTCATGTATGTTTGTTTTGGTTCGTACTACCTCCATTCTAGAAAGCATACAGGTTTGGATTATTGGGCCATCATTTAAATTCCATTCTGAGTCATATATATCATTATCATGTTCCCTAAAGGATGCTTTTGATATCTACTACTCATACCTCGCTCTTAGGTAATGTAGCAACCTTGTCCTGGAACAGCTTCTCGGCCTTCGCCCAGACTGGAGTATTTCTCCAATTCTTTAAAGACAACAGACTTGGTAATAAATCCTTGCTGAATGCCTCACTTGCCTCCCTTGGTAATAAACTTGGTAAGTGGTCAATGCTGATGACACTTAATCTGGGTTCTCCCTTGACCTCGACTGGGACAGTTGGCTCCGAGAATGTGGTTGCAACGGTATAGATTGGAATTGGGTTGTTAGGGTTTGTGGTATCAGCGCTGACATCGCAGACGACCGACAATCTGCGGTTTGGGGTATTGAGGCTTTGCATGTCGACGAAGTTTGGAATCTTGGACATGAGATATATGCAGTTGATGAAGATGTCACTCTCGACAATCTCTGGGAAAGGTCCCCCCTTGGCAGTCTCAGCCATATCCCACTTCAACACATTCTCAGTAGGCACACCGGCTCTCAAGCAGAGATCGACTGCACCGCTTCCACATCTGCCCAATGCGCCAATGACCAAAACTCGTGGTGCCTTGCCGGTCTTCTCTTGCCCGGCTGCGATTGCCTTCTTTACATCGACAATCAAATCGTCTTCATTGGGATAGCTAGATACGCTTGGGAATGGCTCTGATGCTGGGTGGGTGAGTTGCCATGCCCAGTTTTCCAATGCCAATGCTGCACCAGAAAATCCAGCATGGTATCCGAAAGCTGCAACTCTTCTGCCTTTATCGTCTGTCAAGAATTCGAGATCTAGGAGAGTTCCGCCGCCGCGAGGGAATCGTGATAGAACGGTGTCCCAACCCCCTTGCTGCTTGTAACAGTGTGCGAATTGTACATGAACATGCTCGAGGGGAACTTATAGTCATTAGATTAGAAGGTTCCATTGGTATGGGTTCAAGGAGAGACTCACATTCTTCAACGGGCAGTTCCTTCAAACCAATGATAATGTGATCCTTTGGTGCTTGTCTCCATGTGTTTTCTGGCACAAGTGTAGCTCCAACCTTCTCGAATTCTTCATCATCGAATATACGTTCTGGGCTGCGCTCGACATTGATTGTGTATCCAGCATCGATGAGAGCTTTGGCAGTAGTGGGGGTAAGAGCTGATCGATGTTCAAGAGCTTTTCCCACTGATGATCGCATTAGTAAGTGACGGAACATTGTGCCGTTGTTTACTTACACTCAGAACGTAGGTGAAGAGTAATTCCAGACATGATGAAAGATTAAAATTGTAATTTGACTGTTACTCAAAAGTTTGGAATTTATTTACAAACTTCCAGTTTTGTTTTGCTCGAGGGGGGGATTTTTCTGCCCATTGAGTCATTCAAAACCCCTGTATTTTGGATCACCGCCTCCGGAATCGCACTTCATTCACTTTAACCCCCATATCCTTCGATTCAATAACAAGCATCGATTCAATTCAAGCAAACAATTTATTAAAATACTTTCTTGAATTATTATTTCATACTCGAGTATCGACTTTGAAGTCTGAGATTATAAAGACCATTTGCAACCAATGAGAGCAATTGAATAGTACAGCAGGTCAGAAAATAGGATTACTGCAACATCAACAAGTCAACCTTTCGCAATAAATCTAAGGAATTCACTTATAAATGTTATAGATGGATCCTATAATCTTGTCTACACAGTGGTGTGAACTCAATTTTAGAATACAGATTTCCGCCGTATCTTGTTTCTCAAACAGGGCAGTTCCTCTCATTCGGCAAGGTGAGTGATGCTTTCGTCATATACAGCAGGGTAATGGCCACTTTCCCGTTTGCTTCCAACACTCCGTTTCTTTTTTATCCTTCTTACTTTTCGAGACTGTCTAACTGTCGAGTCTGCATTCTTACCACACATTCCCATGAATGCATTTTTTAAAATCGCAATCATGTCGGCCAAAGATGTCCGGACTCACATTATGCTCGATCTTGAGATAGCTGCACACCCTCTGAAGCACAATCCTGCTATCATTCAAATCGGGGCTATTCATTTTGACATCGAAACCGGTGCCCACTTGAAGTATTTCTCCATAAACTTAAACTTGGAGTCTTGCATTGAATTCGGTTTGGTCACGGATTCGGATACACTCCAGTGACTTGAGAAAAATATTCCCGATACATTATCTGCTAGCCAAAACAGCAAAGTGCTACTCGACGTTGCTTTCACACGGTTCACTACCTGGCTCTCCAGTTGCCACAAATCTACCAGAGCCGACATCAACGCCAAGCACCCAGCAGCAAAATACGACCCGACCGACCTTCAAATAATGATATGGGCATACGGCAGCACACAGGATTGCCGGTGGATGGAAAGTGCCTACAAAGCATGTGATTTAAAAAAACCGTGGATGTACTATAATGACCTCTGTGTCCGGACCTACTGCGAGATGGCTTTCTCTATTACGGGGAGAAACATCCGACGTGAGGTGGACAAGTCCTTCGTGGGCAAAAAGCACAATGCCATTGATGACTGCAAACACCAAATCATCTACCTGATCAGGTGCCGCGACGCACTTCGAGGAACGCAAGCCTCTGCTAATACTCTGGCTGCTACCAAGCCAGTACCAGAGCCCTCAAGGAAGCGGCCCATGATCGCTTTAGATGACAACCGTTCCAGAATGGGTTCAGACTAGCCATCAACTTCAGCCAAACAAGACAAGCCAGCATCATGGTCTCTGGGATAGCAATGCTCTTAAATGGAATCCGAGTCTCGACTGATCTGAGTTCAAGTTCCAATACTGGTATACGAGTCTTTCAACTATTGAAACACCTCATTGAAGATAACATCATACATCAAGCTTCTGAACTCGCCCTTGAAGCCATGACTACTTTGCCGAAACAAGGCTAAAGAGGACTGAGAGACGGTTATTTGGAATATCCCTTTGCATACGTGTCACCACATGTCCGGATATAGAGTGATGCGGAGGAATGAGCTACTGGTGATCAGTCTTCATTATGTACCGAGACCAAAACTTATGAAGTACTCATTGGGCATATCCGAATAACACTCAATATAATACCTCCTCCCAACCCATCTTCGTCAGGCACTTCAATGTGTAATTTTTCATCGTGAGAACTCCAATTCGTCTATCTTTCTTTCTTCGTGAAATGCCATCATTTTGACGTAACTCTTATTTATCCTTTGTGACCCAGCGAATTTCGCATCAAGAGAATTTCTAAATAATATAGAAGAATGAGGGAGAGTTTGAACTTTGAACATCCCTGTGATCTGACCAACTGAATTTCAATTACTAATTTGATTATATTGAATTTTTATTATAGAAAAGCATATACTCGAATAATAACGAAGCTATACCGTTATCAAGCTTTTCTTAGATAGTTCTAGCTATGCTTTATAGAGCGCCCAACCCTACCGTACAGTGATTAATAATGTCTACAATTAGCGAGTCGGATTGCGGGAAACTGTTCAGAGCCCGATTTCAAAGCCCGAGCCCCAGTACCAATTAGTATATAGGCTCATGGTCTTTCAAATAATTACCTACTCACGAGAACATTCTTTTGATCAAAGAATCCCCTTTTTCACACGAGTATAATCGTGTAAAATTTATCCAACGTTCCGCCATACTAATCTTACAAACCATGTCTCATTTGAACTACTTCAGCTACGAGGGTTACGGTCAGAGGAGCAAACAAGATTTATGGTACAGCCAGGCTGTTCGAGTTGGAGATGTCATTGAATGTTCTGGTCAAGGTTTGTGCTCATTCCATTTCCACGGCTATCTCAAACCCTCGTATCGTTGTCACTACTGACTCCTTAAATATAGGTGGATGGGACCGCTCGACCGAAGCGATGAACTCCGATATTGTTGCTCAGATTGAGCAGGCTTTTGATAATGTGGAGCAGACACTCCAAACCTCCGGTTCGAGGGGCTGGCAAGATGTGTTTTCCGTCAGATCATATCATGTGCCGATGAACGACGAGGCGTTGAAGACTATGGTCAGGTGTTTGAAGAAGTACTGTCCAGATCATCAGCCAATTTGGACTTGTATTGGGGTTCCGAACCTTGCATTTGATGCGATGAAGGTGGAGATTGAAGTTAGGGCTCATGTGCCAGCAGAGAAGAAGGAGTGAATATGCTGCAGTTTGACTCCGAATACAGCAATTTCGAGAGATATGATTCACGTAACGTGAATCACGTTCCGAGTTGTATATAATTTCAAATATTGTACAACCCTTCTTCTTCCTTGATAACTAATTCTATACTCGAGTATTTACTTGATAACCCTGAAACGACAAAGAAATACAACGGCTCGCATCATGGGTACCGCCAGTAACGTTTTCCAAGCAAGCAGGAAAATCTATGGCCAAGGCAAGGAAATCCATGGGAAAATCCAGGGAGTCCAGCAACAAGCAAAAACCCTCGGAGTCTCTCTACCCAAAGACGCACCCAGCATTCCCCGAAACCGCGCCGAATTCAAGAGAGAAGCCAAAGGCCACGCACGAGGTTGTGTGTGCGGAGTATGGACTGGACTTAAGGCCGAAGCTAAGAAATACATCACTTACGTCGGCTCCCTTTTGCTCTTTGCCGTTATCTCCATCGGTCTTGTGTGTTTTCTCATTCCGGCGCTGTGGTATCATCCGCATTTGCAACTCCTCACTTTGACGACAAAGGCAAAGGCGATATTGTCTGATACTACGAGGGGAGGAAACTTGAATGCGACGGATGGGGAGAGTGTGCACTATAGAGTCTATTTGTTGCATTACTGTGTTTCTGGTCTTACTGCGAAGGCGGAGAAGCAGTTTAATATGACGAATGGCTGTCATCTCTCAAAGCAAGGTATATAGTACAGAGTCTTGATACATGATTTCTTTTCTTCATCACGTTGATCACATATAACTAATGTATCTTCTCACCCCTTAGCATTACACGAGCACATTCTCCCTGCCCTCAGCTCCACTTTCATGCCTCCCCTTCCTGGAAATGATGTCCCAGGCCCCAGCACGGATATTCAGACTCTGTTCAAACATTATGGATACATATCTTTCTGCCTCTACATCCTTGATATTATTCTATTACCCATTGTTGCAGGTGGATTTATCTGGTGGTTCATCAGCACCGTGACTCCCTGGAAACGAACCTTCAGAGCTGTTCTTTGCGTAAGTCCCTTCCTCACCATCCATACCCCACCCAATTCCCTTCCTATCCCTCTCAAACTAGTACATCTAACACCTCCACCCCAGTTATTCACAGGCACTCTCCTCGCCCCCGCAGTTTTACAATCACTTCTGGTCTCCCACACCATCTACATCCTCAAACACAACATCGACATGAGCACCTCCAGCCTCAAAATCACCGTCGAACCCGGTTTCGTCTATCTGTTCCTCATCCACCTCTTCTGGGTCGCCCTCCTCTTCAACATTATTTGTTTCCGCCTCATAGACATGTGTCGAGAGAAGAGAAAGAATAGAAAATTACGTCAGGTTCAAGAAACTCTCGAAGCTCAGAATCAGCAGGATCCTTATGGTGATGCGTATAAGGGTCATGTTGTCGCTACAGATACTTTATATGATACGAAATCTTATGAAATGGAGGAATTTCCTCATACAAAGCAAAGTGTGGGTATTGCACGGAAACCTGTCAAGATGAACTACTCGTATGACAATGGCGATTTGGGAGATAGGAAATTGGAGATGTGATTCTATTCGTGGAAATCAACAGTATGGCCAAATCTACGTGGGGAGAGAGGGGGTTGGTAATAATATACAGTTAGTAGGTAGCACACTAGTGTTGTGACTGCCGTGGTTGAACTACATAGGATAGAATATAATGATGATGGAGAATATAGAATCATTCGTGATTATTCATTCATGACTTCTTTGATATCCACTAGTCATTTGGAAATCTACATGAAGTTTGCACTTCGTTGTGTTCTTCTTAGTGCTTTAGTGATATGCAATGGGCTGCAAGATATATCCTAGCATTTGACGTTTTGTATCTTGATCACCAAATAACAAGTTTTGCCCCGTCAAAACTAGAAAACTATGTTTGTGCGGGTGCAATACCCGAATTTGGAGTTACTTCTAAGACTCCTATCACATTGATATGTCTTTTCCCCACACTATCCTTCTTTCGGCAGTGGAGCTTCTAAGCTCATCAAGATGAGAAGATCTCGTTTTCGAGTAATTGCCATATTGAGAAACAGATGTTTCTCTTTCATTCATTCAAATGGTTATGCCATCGTCTCCGTGGAAACTGTCGTGGGATGAGCCAACTCGATAGTGAGGTTATAAGTATTGACAAAACCCCTCAATCACGCCTACAAACAAAAATATTGGAGATAGGGAATGTGGTAACGAAAGACCCTTAACCTTACATGCAATTTCTCCCGCCTCCAGCGTCTCGGAAGGTCTTCATGCACATTTCTATGGATAATTGGTTCTTCATGTCCAATCTCGAACCTTTCAGCCGATAGCAATAAGTGGTACCAACAGATAAATGTAGCTAGGTAACTTACATACATGCGTGCATGAATGTCACGTTCAGTCGCCTAACTACACTTGCATCCGGTGTTTGATAAGGGAAGACAGAATAGTATAAGATGACCATCAAGACATGGTATCTTGAACAAACTCATTGCGAATCGACATCGCATTCCTCCAGACATACTTCCCAGTATTCCCCCCTCCTGCAAACTACAATTATGCCGCCGGCCAGGTTTAATACGAAAATTATGCTTGATCTCGATCTGGCTGGACACCCCAGCAAGTACAACCCTGCAATTACTTAAATTAGTGCTATACATTTCGATATTGATACCGGGGTCGTATTGTCACGCTTCTGTGAATATCCCAAGCTACAGTCCTGCCTTGACTTTGGGCTAGTTCAAGACGATGAAGTATTGATATGGGCTAGCAAGGAGTGCCCTGCAGTACTCGAGAAGAGTCGAGAGAGCGATAAGCATTTCCATGAGGCACTGAAAGCATTCACTGTCTGGATTGACAAGTGCCTGAGCATCACGAAGACCAAAGTCCAGAGCATCTGGGGACCATACGGCTCATTTGGAGAAGTCAAAATTTGGGCAAACGGAAGTATGCAGGATAATCGATGGATCGATACTGCGTACACTGCTTGCAAGCTTGAGAATCCATGGAAATTCTACAGCAACATGTGCATAATGACAACGAATCAAGCGGTCCGAGAAGTGACTGGGCGAGACTATCGCCTTGAGGCAAACAAGGGCAGGGAGAATGCATACGATGCTGTCGCGGATTGTATGCATCAGATTGGATGGTTTATGAAGGGTCTCAATGCACTCCGGGATAAGCCGAACTACTGCCGTCCTATCATCTTCCTCATCTAACGTCACGAATCCCCGAAGAAGCGAAAACTCAATGGCTAGGGCTTTGGCGAGGGATGACGTCGTGTTAATCTTTTCAGGGATCAGCCATATAGATTGACTATGCAATAGAAGCTGAGCTGGAACATCATTGAGAGATAAGTAGTATGAAAATCCAACATTGATCTCGATTGAGGACTGTGTTAAAGGAGGATTGGAGAATTTGTACATCCGGAGCATTTGTTGATGTTTCGGTTGATATTTCACGTTTGGGGAAAGTGCTGTTTGAAGGTTTGGTAAAGGATAACGTGATTCGGGGATTACATTGAAATCCTGTGATCCGCCGAGTTGATTAACAAGAGAGGTTAAAGGAATGAATAGACGAACAGAGAGTCCACCCCTCTCCCTTGTAAATGCCTACTTCTTGCAGACTTTCTTGTGTAGCTTCCAATTTGCTTTTTGACATGCATGGTCACAGTAACTGACACTTGCACAACCCGCACACTTCTTAAGTGACTCAGAAACACTTCTACACGTATTACACTTCAACATATTGCTCAGAGTACCCTGGGAAGGCGCTTCGAAACTCTCAATCTCAACCACCTTCGCCACATCGAAAGTGGCTACTTCGCTCTCTTTGTAGCCTTTCTGATTTGCCACAATTCTTTTTCCCGTCCCTACTTCCTCGAAATCGCAATTGAAATGTGTATGCCCAAAAGCCCATAGCCTGACACTAGCGCTGGTCCAACATATCTGTGACAAATGCAGACCGGACTTGATTGGCATCTTCTCGTGTTATTTGCTCCACTTGAGAATTCAACCAAGTGAGATCTTTCTGATGAGAAGCATTGTGAGTATTAACATCCCACTCCGATATCTCCGAAAAATCGGAGCAGAAGAGGGAAACAGATTCGCGTTGTTCGTTGATGATACGAGAAAAAAGTGTGCTACCCAACACGTCACGCTGTCCGTAATATCAAATCTTGTTCGATCGAGGAATACAAATCGGCCCATCGCTACCCCCTCTCCGCGAAAATCATCCATTGTACGTTGAAAGCACAACATGGTCACCACGGCTGCCATAACCTTAGTCCCGTATGCCTCGTGGTTTCCTTGTACGAAGAAGACAATTTCAAACACCCTTAGTTGGTCTTCAAGAAAGGCGATGAGATCATAATCTAGAACATTTCCAATATTACCCAGAAAAGCCAGATATCTGCATTCTGGTTTGATCTTGAAGTGCTGGTATGTCGGCCTCGCACTTGGAGTCTCCAGATGGAGATCTGACATGATTTGGAACTGAATTGGAGACATCTTAGCGATAAAACGGAATGATAGCGATGCTTGTGTTAATCCAAAATTGTAGAAAGTATCGATACTTGTTGTGGTTCAAAACAAAAGACATTATTGAAGAAGGAGTACCGGTAGACAAATCAAACTCGTTGGAGGGAATAAGTTGCTTAGCGTGTATTGTTAATCATCATTTCATTGGCTGTAAATACAGGTCCGTGCTGCAAAGCTACTTCTCCAAACGTTCCCGACTTGCAGGTCGCATGAGAAACAGTACCTATTTCCAAAATGGTGGCTATGTCAACAGAGTATATCAAACGAAAAGTATTGCTTCATGAATAGAAGTTATGCATGAAAGGGCTTGCTTGCTGTTTCTTTACCATCTCATAGGTTTAATTGCCGCGTCTAGGCTCATGTTTCGAAATGCTTGTAACCGCCATATCAAAGCAAAAGCGCTTATTATGGCCAGACAAGTGTCTCTCATCCAATGATTCTATTATGCTTCACAAGATCTCAATTCTTGGCTTGATGGCGCGTTTCTTCTTAGCGGCTCACATGCCGAAGTTTGATGACTGGACTTCAATGAATCATCCTGAAATATGGTTACTCCCCCAGAGACCACCGACCTTACAAACAGCCATATCAAGCGGACTGTTTCCTATTGGCAAACTCAGCGCATGTCACTACACTTGGTCGTCTCATGAATTTATAGAGTCAGGATACAATCTACAAAGCATGATTGTGTAAATCTAGATCGATGATTCAAAGGTTCTGGGCCTTTGGAGCTGAGAGTAAGAGTGAGTGGGGATGAATATTTAATATCTTGATTTCCTTCATTGTTTGCTTCCATCATCATCATTTCAACAATCAGTCTCTTCATCTACTACAAATTACCTCTTTTCCTCTCGTTTCTTTTCTTTGGCTAGGACAGACTTCAGGACATTCTTTCTCTTCAAAGTAACCATATCATTTTTTTGCTGCTAGATCAGCCCAACACTTTCACTTTTTCACAAAGTCAACCCACCTCCAAATAACAGCAATACACTCTTTTCTCGACATCCATCAAATAAGCAGATTCGGTATTTTGCAATCCAAAATTCGCATTAAAAGATTTCTCAAAGATTTCTATACCACCTCATTCATAATGTTCGTCCCAAAAGATAGAAAGAAAGAATACGGTACTCTCGGATTTGCTTTTGGCATCACTCGGGCTCTACAAACTCTTTGCCTTATTCTCATTCTCATTCTATCTGCAATTTTCATCGCAGAAATAAACGCAGCCGATACGGCTCCCCCAGGAGTTATCATTGCTACTCTCAGTATTGTATGTCAATCTCATCCCCATCTACCCTCTTGATCCCATACTGATCTCGGCTAGGTTGTTATCACGATCGTCTGTCTTGCCACCATCTATCTTCTCTACCTCGATACGCATCTTCACTTTCTCATCGCTGCTGGACTCGACTCGGCGGCTCTTATCGCCCTCATCGTGGTCTCGATAACCATCGGCAAACCCCTTTCTTACCTCGACTGCCCTGCTCTCGCCAATGTTGGAGTGACATCAGCATTCGTTGATTCGGCTGTCGACAATTTCTCTAAGGCTAATTCTTATTTCTGGCTCGGTGCATCTAAGAGATCATGCTACGAAATGAAAGCCATTTGGGGGTTCAGCTTGGCACTCTGTGTCCTGTTCTTCTTCAGTGGCATTATTGATGTTTGCTTATGGAAAATAGAGAAGAAGTTTGTTCCACAGAAGGATGGCTTGTCTTACTCGGGTTGAATTAACAGGATATAGATATACAGGCAGTGCACAAAATAGGGGAAGGGAGAATGCAGTGGTGGAATATCAGGGAAAGTCCGAATTGGAGGGCTCGTAATATGGTAGACAAAGCTGGGCCTCATGGCATGGTTGAGAGATCTCTTTTGTTGGCTTGGGATCATCGATTAAGTTTGTTTTCTTGCAACGGAGTGTAGTAATTAATGAGTCTACGATGGGTTTGAATTTTATATCTTGCGCACTATTTCGTATTTCGCCTTGTGTCTCGTTGGTGAAAACAGCAAACATCCAATTTCATCTTCGAGCTGTTGATTTCTCATCTAGAACTACCTTCTGGCCCAACCAACAAGAGCCATTAACACCTATAGACTGACTCCACAAGCCCACCATTACTCCCCATCTAGTTTTTGGCACTACCTACCAGCTTCTAGTTTCGCGGGCCAACATTTCTAGTCCCTTCCGTCCCATGTGATTGCAACGTGATACGTTCGAACATCAACATCTAAACTTTTCCTGTAATCATAGTCTTACTCAATCTTTCTCAATCAGTCTTTTCTCCATTAGTCTTTTCTCAATCAATCAATCAATCTAGTCCATGAATATGATTATTCCAAATGATTTGGAATTTTCCATCGCCAAGCACGGCAGGGTAAACTTGTACTACCTACCGGGTACGTAACAGCACAGCACAGCAAAGCCCACATATAGGGCAGTACCAAAGTATTGGGAATCTGGGATAACTCATCGATGCCACGGATCAAATCATCCTATGACATCTATGTACATCGAGATCATCATAGATGTGTGTGTGTGTGTGTGTGTGTGTGTGTGTGTGTGTGTGTGTGTGTATGCGACGGGCATGGCGTACAGAGCGGTAAGACATGTGCAATGACAACTTGGTCTGATAGATTAGATGTTTATGATTGGATGATTCTGGGCTTGTGCAAATAATATACCCCGGATATGTCGGTTTCCGCGATGGTCCAAAGAACGGGTGTGGATGTTCCTTTTCATGGGAGGTTGACTTCTGTTTCTCCTCCCTTCCCCTAGTTTTTTAAGGAAGAAATTGAGAATCAGGAGAATAGAAATCTGAATTTACATATTAAATCTTGGTTTGGGATGGAAATCTTGGTAAGTAATATATTTATCCGCTGATATGACTATATCTGTATCTCCATAGAAGTACTGTAATCATTATATCATGTACTTGTAGGTGCTATCTCTCGGTACCAACCCCCCATTCCAGGCTATGCTACGTAGCGTATTATGGAAATCTATAGGCTCGCTTAGACATAAGATTTACCTTACTCCGTACAACCTTGCACAGATCCGCGGCACGATTGAATGTGACTTTCAGCTGTGGTCAAGATAGACCAATAGTATCTTCTCCTCATTCTGAATAATATAAATTTGGTGAACACGAACATAGTAGGTTATTCTTGGTAAGTCAAAAGCTGGATGATGTCTTCTTCTGCTTCTGCTTTTGTTCGTTTATTTGTTTCCGACTTTCCAAGTTTTGCTGTCTGTCTATCGAGGAAATTCGGATTTACCTACGACTAATCTGCCAGCTACTACCATTCAAGAAGCAAAAATGGCTAAAACGATATTCACAACGATTACGCCTCTCCCAGCCAATGTATCCCGCCAAACGGTCCTCGAAACCCTCCACGATCACATCGAAATGATCGATCTTAACCCATCCCACGCCGAACGCCATCCCACCAAAGCCCCTCCCTCCGCCACCCCCGAAGAATATCACTGTCAGTGGTACCGAATCGTGGACAAAATATCGTATCTACCCGCCAATCTCTATACCGGCACTATTTCCTTCAACGCCTGTTTTCACAATTTGGCGAATGGGCTGCAAACGCATTGTTATGCGCCCATGGGATTGGATATCAAGGAAAAATGGACGATTGGGGGAAACATGCCTGGCGAACCAGCAGTTCCGAGAGAGATTGGAATCAATGCGCCGGTGGAGGGATTGTATATTAGGGAAGATGTGGAGATGAAGTGCAACATTCTGATGACGAGATTTGTGCGCAAGACATTGCAGGAGTGTTTGAAAGCGCTCGTTGCGCGATTAGTCGTGAAAGCACAATTGCAAGAGGCGCGCGAGAGAAATAGAAGATTGACGCTTGGAAGTGCAGCTGGATATGAGAGGGATGGCGATACGATGACGCCGCCGATGAGTCCACCGATGCGAAGCCCCGGTATGGCTACTGTGAGTAGTATGGGTAGGAGAGGCAGTACGTACAGTAGTTCGAGCGTCCCGACGAGTCCCCCATTAACTCCATATAACCCTGAGAAATGGGCGGAGGCGGGTATGCAGGGCCATCCCACGCTACAACCATACACGCCCTTGCAGTTGCAGCAGCAACATCAGCAACAGCAGTTATATCAGATGCATCACGAAAGGAAGAGTTACGGGGGACAGGACCAAAGATGGTCGGGCATCAGTGACAAGACGCAAGCGTCATTGCCAGGCCCGAACTACGCGAATAAGCCCGTCAACTATACGAATAAGCCTGCCCGAATCGCGGAAATGGAAGCGCCGCCCGGACCTGTGGAGTTGCCATAGCCAGAATGAGGAGCAGGGGCTTGCATATGGAAATTGTATATGGAATTAGGGAGGGGATTTGATGATGCGTATCAATGCGAGCCGAAGCATATGCTTCGAAGGCATGCCCGATTGTAGCATCTCACTACATTCGAGGCCGACATGCAATGAACGGTCGTTTCAGAAGATCATGAAGACTATGGAGACGGAGAAGTTGCCTTGACACGGATGGAACGGAAAGGAAGGGAAGAGTGGCTAATGGCGGACTGATAGGCTGACGGATTGACAAGCCGTCTGATACGTGAGCAGAAAGGGTCAACACGATGGCACGTTTTTGGCTACACGTCGATTTCGGATGCATGACATTGGGAGGAAAGGTGATGGAGATTTCTAAAGTATTGGAAGTTGAGGTTTTACGATGGTTTTTGGTGCAAAATACTCTCCCTCTCAGGCATGAATAATCCTGATGGGAAGGCCTATATTTTATAATCGTGAGATTCGTATTTATGACGTTCTAGATGTCCATGTCTCATGGGTCGGCTGTGAACAAAATGAACAGATTTATTGAGGATCTATGTTTACAAACAAGCCCCGCATCATACACGCTTATGCCCCAAACCCTTCTAAATTTCCATCTATGATGCCATTCTGCTCATGTCGTTTCTTATACGTTGGTAATCAAGGAGACCTGATTTGTCAGTAAATAATCGAAGAAAGGGAGATGAGAAAAATCTTGCTAAACATACCTTCAATTGAACCAACAGCACTGATTGCAATATCTTGATCCCACAATTTTCTTTGCGCAAAGCTCATAACATCCTTCTCGCCAATTGCTCCAATAACACGCTCAATCTCCTCTGGTCCCATACGGCGGCCAGTGGTGATGATTTGTCTCCCAATATCTTCAGCTACAGCAGTAGTGCCATCTAGCGAGAGAAGAATTGATGCCTTGAGTTGGGCCTTAGCGCGCTCAACTTCGGCCTCGGTGACGTTGTATGACAGACGGGACCATTCTCGTAGAGTGAAATGAACTAAATCGTCAAGACGAGTGGTCTTGTCGGTAACAAGATAAATACCCCAGAGTCCAGTATCGCTATAACTCGTTGAGAAACTCATAAAGCTGTTGGCCAAATCATGCTTGTGAACGAATCCGCTGAGCTTGCTTCCCATATGAGGAGCGTTACCCATCGCTTTATCCCAGTTACCGACAATAGCTTGGGTAACCAAAGCAGTGTAATAATCATCATCCTTCCAGCTGACACCCTCAACAGCAATAGCAATATTGGCAGTTGGGATAGTATCATCACGGACTCTGACCTCAGAACCAATGAATTCTGGCTTTTGCTTTTGAGCGTTGGCGCTTGCGAGAGCAGCGCTGGTATGGGGTTGGGATGCAAGACCAGCAAAGTGCTTCTCGGCGAGTTCGACGAGTTGTTGATGGGGAACACCTCCGGCACCAACAAGGACCATACGATCGGCAGTGTAGTTTGTCTTAATGTAGTTGGTCAAGTCCTCTCTTTGGATGGATTGGATGTTTTGAGCAGGGCCCAAAATTGTACGTCCTAAAGGTTGTCCCTGGAAAGCGGTTGCGTGTAGGTGATCGAAAACGACTTCCTCCAATTGCTTGTCAACCTCCTCGGATTCTCTCAAGATAACATCACGCTCTCTGTTAATCGCTGAAGGTTCGAGTTTCGAGTTTTGAAGGATATCGGAGAGAATGTTGACAGTAGCTGGTACATCAGAATTGAAAGCTTTGGCGTAGTAAACTGTGTTTTCACGCTTTCCATAAGATTAGCAGAATTCCTGCGCTATTTGAGTATTTTTGAACATACGGAAGTATAGGCATTCAAATGGCCACCCATGTTCTCAATTTCCAACTCCAATTGATGCTGTGTTCGATTGCTGGTTCCCTAGTCTCATCGTAAGTTCACCTGGAGTTTCCTCCATCAGGCTGAATCATACCTTGAAGGCAAGATGCTCCAAGAAATGAGCTGTGCCATTCGTCTTGTCCGTTTCTGCCCGAGAGCCGGCATCGATCCATACACCAACTGTCGAAGTTTGTGCCCATGGCGAGTGTTCTGTAGCGATCTTGTTCGTATCAGCACTTGCCCTTCCACTATCGATATCCAGGCCTTACCGTTAGACCGTTTGAAAGAGTTGTGGTCTCTGTCTTCACGCCATTTTTTATCACCGGAGTCGCGAAACCTCTTCTTAGTCCCGATACGACATTGGGAGCAGCGCGGGTGCGCAGTCCCTTCGTAAGGTTTAGTGCTAACCGCCGAGACGCCATAGGGATATGATGTGAGGGTTGTGGTGGGAATAAACTAAGTGAAAATAACCCGATGAGTTCAAATTGTTAGAATTTAGTAAACCTGAAGAGCTTAGTCGTTCATCGGATTTTAACCAATCAAACTTGTTCCGGCTTTGATGACCCCACACGTGACTTGTTGCCGAGCTATCTACCTAGTTATCCCGATAACATCGTCGACCGAGCATTCGAGGACCTGAGTGATACTTCGTTGCCTCTTTTACACTCAATAACTTGTAATAGAAGTTCACAATGGCTTCAATTATCAGACCATCAATGCTTAGGCAGACTTGCCTCGCCGCGTCGAAACGTAATTTATCTACAAAGGTCTCTTCCGGTTTCCCCGCAATCAACAAGCCCGCCGGACGCAGCGCTTTTGTAAGAGATGCATTGCCAGGTTCAATGCGTGTAGCGGCTTTCCATGCAAGTAGCAGACAATCAATTCTGCCTCCATTACCTCGTGAGCTTTCTGCCATCAATAAATCTTATTTCAATTGCTAACCACTGTGCAGAATCTATTGATGGGACTTGTATGTTGATTCGCCCTTGAGCTAGTCCAACATAAACTAATAGATCACACAGCAAACGATGCAGCACCCGTACCTAAGCCGTCCCCATCCCACGGCTCATACCATTGGACATTCGAACGTTCCATCGCCGTCGGTCTCATTCCTCTCACAATCGCCCCCTTCGTTGCTGGAACATTGAATCCAACCACCGATGCTATCTTCTGCGCGGCGATTCTCATCCACTCACATATCGGGTTCGAGTCGTGTGTCATCGACTACATCCCGCTGAAAAGATTACCAAAGACTAGAGCGTTATTTTGGTGGGGCTTGAGGGCAGCAACAGTTTTGGTTGGAGTTGGATTATACGAGTTCGAAACAAATGATGTGGGAGTTACGGAGGGTATTAAGAGAATTTGGCGCGCATAGGAGGTTAAGGGGGAGTTTGTGTTGTTTGAGAATAAGCAGCATGCAGTACAAATATCGAGACTGTCCGACACATATGTTCGTTTTGGATCCTGACATGTGAAAGTGCCGTTTGCCCAGGATGGCGAATTTTCATACAGCGGGTTACAGGTTGTTATGGTCCTTCCTGAAGCTTAACTACTATTGTTAAAGCAAACAATGCTAGTGGGAAGCAGTGGCGACTTTTCAGCTTCTGCTCTGCCGAATTGTTCCATAGAAGATGCTAGACTTGCTCCAAGTTCCCTCCGCCTTTTGCTCTTCTGGATATAGCATTTTCATATGTGCCTCCTCCAAAGCTGCCTATATTCAGCATAGGACTCTTCGCCTTGCTATGCCATGTTGTCGGAAGTCCGACCCAAAGCCGCACAACGGAGAACGTATTATCTAAATAACGTATATGTATTATGTAAAGTTAAGTAATCTATCTTGTTGCATGCTGTATGATTTGTGATAAAAAAATCAATTCAGAAACCATTAAAGAAGAATGTTGATGACTCCAATCATGAACAAGTTTGCAAATGCATCCCAATATCATACCCTCAAGTCTCACGCAGAGGTTCACTGTCGCAGGAAGCAAAAAGAGCGGGAGAGAGAAGTAAAAAGTAATTACAAAGTAAAATTAGAGGCAAAGAACTTCAAAAAATTGGATCCATATAATGTAGACGATCAAGTTTCCAATTCAAACCAGACGAACTGAGTTTCTCAATCAACAAATCTTCGGCTGTTAAGCAGTGATCCCGTCTGAGGGGATGTGAAAACCCAGTGCGTTACCATTGAGCCAACTGGACTTTATCGATTGGTGATTTGATGTCTCTTCTTTTGCTTTATATTGTTAAGCGAGCAGTCCTCCTAACATGGAACAAATTACTCATACACCCATAGCTCAGCCTCTCATTTCACGCTCTCTTCGCATGACTTAATCTGAGGATAAACCTCAGGACACTCAATGGTATGGTAGTAATTTATTCTTGTGTCCTTTTTTTCAGAGGAATTGTTGCATGTGATGTCAATTGCTCGGACAGTATATAACTTTTCGACAAAGATCCATCGCCTACACCTAAAGCTTAGCCTTGCCCGATTCCACCCCTATTATCTTCAATCTCTGGGTCAATTCTTCAGTTGTAAACGGTGGTTTAGTATCAATAGGTTTCCACCAAGGCCAAACACTCGGTGCATTATCTTGCATATTCCCCTTGAACTCCGGGTCTCTCTTGTCCATGAAGCCTATCATATATCAGCATAAGCGCGAAGAGACACCACGAACGCATTCAATTACATACTTTTGATCCCTTCTTTCTTGTCCTCTCCTCCGAATAACTCCAATAAGATCTTACTATCCAAAAGATGTGTTTCCTCGGCCGTCGATGGACCTCTCCACATCAAATCTCGCATGATCGCAGTTGACACCGCACTCGTGTTTTTGACTACATCGTTTGCGAGCTCTAATGCTCATGGGAGAATTTGTTCAGGAGGTATGATCTCTGAAAAGAGGGAGGATAGAAGAGGAGATGTAGAGGGGTAGATTGAGCCGGTTGTGGTGAGGTGTATGGCACGGGATAGGCCAATGAGACGAGGAAGAAAATAGGAGGAACACGCTTCCATTATTATACCTCGGCGGGCAAATACAAATCCGATCTTTGCATTAGAGGAGACGATGCGGATAGAGGTAGGGAGAGTTACTAGAGTAGGTTAGGAAGAAGCTAACGGCAGAGAAAGTGAGGGTTGGCGGAAGAGTAAGGTAAGTGAAACTTTCAGCTTACTAGTTATGCCTACCCCCACGGCTGAGCTGGAGAGGAGATTAGTATTTCTCAGGGCCTTGGCTCATTAACTTGATAGCTATGGCTCTTGAAGACTGTGATTGAGGGTATTTACTCACCCATTGATGGCCGCAATCGTAGGTTTTGTACATCTATGAATCGCTAGTGCTACCTAGACATGTAAAGTGGTCAACATTTCTTGCACGAAAGCATTGGGAAGATCCAGCGCTCCACCAATACACGAGAACGCGAAAGAATGAAACACACATACTCTCCCACCAGCATCTCGATGTGTCAACGCCGTGTCATTCTCATATGATAATCCAGCTTCCAAATCAGCTCCAGGGCAAAACATCTTTCCATGGCCAGTAATAACAATGCATTTCACCTTAGGATCAAGCGACAAAAGGTCAAAGGCTATTTCGAGATCGTCTGCCATAGTTTCTGTGAATGCATTGTGCTTTCCAGGCCGATATAATGTGACTAGAATGATTGGAGTGGGCGTGGGTGAGGACTCGGGTACGTGAGAGACGCGGATATGTTGGAAAGGAAGGGTTGAGTAGGAATCTGGAAGCGATGAATACATGCTTGGTTGTCTGACTGTACTTGAGACTTTGATATGTTGATATAGTCAAGATTTGGCCCCGAACTCAATGATCTTGAAGAAATGCTGGGCTACAGCTGCAGGGCTTTATATGTACTCTCATGTCTAGATTTAGAAGCAATAAGGGAGAATAACGACAACAATGAATCCGACTATGCGCAGAGCAATATATAGATAAGATCTGTAACCTAAAGAAATTGAGAGGTTGGAGTAACTACGAATAATAATAAACCCTTAAACCGAAGCCAACATCTAAGAATCCCAAAATGCCGAGGATGATAGAGCTTATGCGGGGTCACACCGAAGCCCCTTGCTCATGGTATGTAGAATAAAAAGAGAAAGGCACGCTTTCCATAGTCAACCAAAATTCGAGATTTACCAACAAGGAGAGATATGCTGTGCTATACTTTCTCTGATCGTGTAAGTTCGAGGAGCATAGACTTAGATTCATGTTCAATGTCCGTCTATGGCTTTCTCCAAGTATCATGAGCTCACAGTTATCGCATACCCTAGCCAAAAATCGAGCCACAGACTCTGATCTGATATCCTTTAGGAAGGATAGAAATCATTGATCAACGCATCATTGGAAGTGATGATTTTGAGACTTTATTGATTGGATTGCAAGATATGATGGATGATGATGTTGGTTTTAAGAGCATTCTCTACGAAGCAAATTAGCCCTGTTTAATTAACCCTATTCCCTGTCATCTTTGTGTTACCCCAGCACCCCAGCACCCCCAGCATCCCCAACCCCACTTCACCTCAACCCCTTCCCAAGTTCAACAGCATTATTATATCCAATCGTCGACATCATCACTTTCATCACTTTCATCAATTTACATCTACTGATCAAATCTCAAATCATAAAAAGGATGACTCAAAAAGAAACTGTTTCGACTGACAAGGCACCACCACCGTTGCCCTTCTTTTCCCAAGCCATTAAATGTCAAGGAATGGTTTACTGCTCCGGTAGTATTGGGATGGATGTCGCTACCATGAAGCTCGTCGAAGGAGGTGTTGCTGATCGATGCGTACGTCTCGATTTTTATCTACAGATTTCAACGTACTCGTACAGCATAACTGGATGACAAATATAGAGGCAATCACCCTTGAACCTCAAGGCAATCCTTGAGGCAGCTGGCAGTAGCGTTGACAACGTCGTCAAAGTCAACGTCTTTCTAACCAACATGGATAATTTTGCCGCCATGAACAAAGTCTATGCAGAGTTCTTCCAAAAGGATCCCAGGCCAGCCGGGACTTGCGTTGCGGTACACGAATTGCCACTAGGAACCGACGTGGAAATTGAATGTACGGCTCATCAGTAAGGTAATATCTGTTTCAGATGCAAATCAAAGATTATGGCTGGCATGGCCTTCTCAGGGGAGAGGCATCGGTGTCGTCGACGGATTTATTGTCTACGGCGAATCTTATGACTAAGGATTGGTAGCAAGCTTTGAGGGAACCAACCTCTTACAAGGTCACAAAGAATTCGAAATGAATTGCCATTTAAAATTGTTTTAGCTCTGTACAGCGCTTTCAGTTATGCAATTTTACTCGTTTCGAAAAAGAAAGAGGTGATGCTTCCAGCTTTTATTTTCTTTGTATGGCCGGCATTCTTCGTTTCTTTGAAGAAAGCTCCTTGATTGTTCACCGATTTCTGCTTTTGTCATCTACCTACTCACCTCCAGCAACATCGCAAAATTGTACTATCGTGAAGCTTTTGATCTACACGTTGCGCATACTATACTTGTTTGATCAATTTCATCAATATGTCATTATTGCGAAATCGTGCCAATATCCAACCGCGAGATGATGTGAATTCAGACAATGAGAGAACTCCCGGCGAAGGCGACAAAAAGGTCTTGTACCAAACACCAGGAATAGCCCTCCGTTCCCAGCAATTAGTTGGCCAAAAAATTCCAAGCCCAAGACTCACTCAAGATCGAAGAAATCTGGCACGAGATGCATTGGCGGCGGTGCGAGGCGCTGGCGATAAATTGAGGGTGATTGGACTTCTTAGTGGTTTAGCCAGTACTCCCGTCACAGACGAGATTCCTGCAAGCGCAGCATCTCAACAAGTGGGCAGACCCGATGGCCTTCCTCCCGTGGCGGGCTTGGCAGCAGCCAACGTTCCAACCGCGAGCAACCAAGAGCCGGTCAGGAGAACAAAACGGTTCGGAAAAGCTCAATCACGATCTACTAATTTAGCCAATGATATCAAGAACTTTATGCCAATTCAACTTGAATTCACACCACACCTGGAGAGCGATCGCAGTAACGAATGGTTTCAGAATGCATATGCCGTTTTATTTGAACGAATCGTTGCGCTTGCTAGAGAACATTTCGGATTTCAAGAGCTGCAAAGTGAATTTCATGAACCATGGGCCGTTGAGATGCCAGATGAGTTCCTAAGATATTGTGAACTGGTTGCTGAGCCTGACCCCGCTGTTGGAGGATGGGATGAGCTTTTGATAAATACGGAATCAAGGAGGTTTCTCATTGTTGGTATTATAGTGAAGATCCTGGAGGTAAAAGTGTTTGCGCCGTCTTTATGGGGTAATAATGAAGAGGGGGAAGAACTTCTACATGGCTTAGATCGTGCACTTCTCGATGGTGAAGGTATAATATTCCAATCTCAAGCAGGTGAACATGTGGCTATAATGTCATACTAACACATTTCTTCCCTGCAGGTTACGCCCGTCAGGCACTTCGCTCCAGATCAATCCGTACTCTCCTGGGTGGAGCATCCGTAACACCCAACTTTCATTCAGATTGCACGACCCTCACAGCGCAAATGATACTTCTCCTTGGTCCTCTTTTCAACTACCTCACCATTCTTCCCGCCCGCCCCAACACCATCACTCCCGCTCCTGCAGCCTTCTATCAAGGCCTCCACAACATAGTTTCAAGTGCTGCTTACCTGTCCATCTGCGTCCGTATTTCCCCAACCATAATCCACATCGCACATCTCGTCCCCGGCACCCCCTACAGCACCGACGAAGACACCTCCATTCTGCAATCGTCCTGGACTCTCTCCAAAACAATTGTTCAACATGACTGGAATACAAGACATGCATTAATGGAAGTTGAGCGGGCTAATGCCGAAGGCTATAAACTGGGCTATGAAACTATCGGTCGTCAAAATTCAAGAGCTGGAAGACAGGCTACTCGGAATTTTGAAGCGATCGAACAGCAATTCGCAGCCCATAAACCGCCCGGGTATACACATCGGGCGAGCGTGAAGATTGCAGTGTGGCCTGTGATACGGAGATACTGGGCGGGCAATGGGAAACCCGGGGGCGAGATGGATGGACAGAGTGTCTATGTTGTTACGAATGCTGGAGCAGTGTTTTATTACAAAGAGACAGATAAAGAAGTCACTTCGCTTTTCGACTTCGTGGCACAGAAAAAGAGGGTGTATAATGTTAAATTTCGAAGGGCTAGGGATCTTCTGTCGGTTTTGGCATTATTGTCTCTAGGCGTGTTTCTTTCTCTCGTGTTTACGATTGGATGGACAGAATTGGTAGAGTGGGTGGGGAGGATCGTAACGAGGGCCATTGAGTGTCTACAGGATTGGATGTCGAGAATAACAGGGACGGCACATAGGGCGTACGAGTATTCGGGGGCGCATGGCGCAGAGTGGTATGATAGGGCTAGAGAGAATACTCTTGACGAGTTTGGCTAGGTCAAGCAAGAGTGTCTGAAGGCAAGGAAAGGCGTCAGGGAAGATTTCGTGATGGGAGGTTTGAAAGCCGGGGAGGCGTATGATAGGGTTACTTCTAAGGCTGGCAGGGCGTACGATAAGGCTTCCTCTAAGGCCGAGTACGTGTATTGCAAGGCTTCCTCTCGGGTCCAAGGCGCATATGATAAAGCCGCCTCCAAGTATTCGAGTTACGAGGATAGATTTGGCTATGGGAGAGGAGAGTAGTGGGAACAGTTTGTATCCTTTGTATTTTATGGTTGTTTGTCAAGTGGTATTCTGATATGTGTTGAACATGGGGGGTTTTGTATTTCGGTTGGAAATGAAAAGAGTTCGGTTTTATATATATATGTAGTATGTAGTGTGAATCATCTGTTTTTTTTTAAAAAATGCTCTGTATCATCTCATCGAAGTAGGGAAATTTGAGCTCGGGATTTTTGTTGTATAGAATTAGCTGTGGCTATCTAATATAATTCATTTATTCATGTTATTTCTCCAATTATATCAGATTGTCACTATGGATCGAATAAACCCTATCTATGCGAAACATACAGGATATACTGTCGCTATACATAACCCTTTACCTATAGTATATTATTTTCCTCAGTTCCAAGTTCCGATCTCCTTTATCACTACTATACTTACTTGTCTTGTCTTGTTTTGGCTCGAGCTACTAGCGAGAGAGGACTCGGGTATACGGTGTGTAAAGTCTGTCTCCAATTCCATAGCAGACATAACAAATACAGCAGAGAAAGAGAGAGAGACAGGGAGAGAGAGAGAGAGGGGTAGAGACAGAGTAGAGAGACAAGTAGCTGGTAGCTAGTAGAGGTTATTTAGGGTGTTGTGGAGTGAATAAGAAGTGTGAATAGGGAAGTACTCAGTAAGGTTAGGACCGTTAATTAGGTGAATTAATTGATTGTGAGGGGTGAAACAAACGAGCGGGGTGGTATATATATATTGTATAAGAAAGTATATACCGGTATATAAGTAAGTGAATAGAACGAGCGGATTGAATATAAAGATGATTTTACTTCTACCAATCATACTGCCCCATTTAACAACTCGAATCTAATTGGCCATGAGTAGAATAGAAAAAAAAACTATTTATAAGCTAATAAATACATTATGATTATCGGAAAGCACTCCGTGCAAGTTTTGTAAAAAATCAAAATCAAAATCAAATTCGTGGTTCTGGTAGATTCAGGTGTGCCTTGAACATTGAACATGCACATTGAAGAAGAACCATGGTGTCTGCCACCATTCTGGAGTACGGGGGATCGCTTCTAGATCTTGATTTATTATTCGAGCCAAAAGATTTGACCTTTAAACTCGAAATTTTGAACACAGATTGAGATAGTAAGTAAAAGAATAGAGGTTCCAAACCAGACATGATTACTCTTCGAGATCCCTTGGGCAATATTCCCCCAAAAGTGAAATGCCTTTTGGTCTTCTCGTAGAAGATATCCATGTAATCTCCCAAGTACCGCCTGGGGGGATTAGACATATAGCGCTGAGTAGATTTGCTATATATCTTATCCACCAATTAAATTTGGATTTTTGAGCAAGCCAAGCAACTATCCGAATATACGAACCAAGAAAAAACGCCTATTTTTTAATCTGGCGAAGTGGGCATTGAGATATGTAAAACCTCTAAAACACCTTCCCGCCGCCAACCTCCATACCTGATTTGTTCAGATACCCACCGGGCCGCCCAAGCGCCGTGTAAAAAAAATCAATTTCGTAAGGTCGAAATTTTAGACTCCTATGGGAAGATTTGAAGGAGGGTCTGGATTTTGTTTCTTTTCTTTCTTTTCTTTCTTTGCCCATCGAAGACCGCAAGCGTTACAAAGCGTCTTGGGACCGTAAGGACCTTTGCGCCATTCAGGTGATTCCGTAGTACCTTACATAAATGTCAGACTTTTCTTCGGACCTACAGAGTGAGTAAATGAAAATAGCACATACCACAATCCGTACAGACATATTCCTCTACTAGCTTCAACTTCTTCTTCTTGTCTCCTGAACGACCGTCTTTGTCAAACGGTATTACAATTCCAGCATCACCTTTGATCAACGCTGGGTTATGGTCGCCTGTGCTAATTCCTTGACTTCTTTCACCTTCTCGATATTGTAGCCCTGTGAGCATCTCTATGCGATCTGCCCCCCCAAATCGTAACATTTTATCGTTGATGGAGTCAGATTTGCGACTAGAACTAGCATCCTCGAGATTCGCCCTTGTTAAGGCGCTGTGTGACATATCCGGCCTCGCTGAGGGAGGCATCGACATGAAATCAGAATGGCTCGGGACGACAGCTATCGATGCGCTCATAGATGTAGTTATTGTACCAGATGACTCTGGTGATTGCTTATGAGTCAACTGTCTTTCGCCCTCATCTTCGTCTTGCTCTTCTCTTCTGAGAGCCTCAATACGCTTCGTCATTCGCTCAAACTCAATTTTATGTTCCAAAAATGAATCCAGTAAAACGGCATTGGCCGTTGGGTATGGCCGTGCCATCATGAAAACACCTCTGCAATAATCCGATGTATCTCTAAGTGAAAGATGCGGGGTCGATGGGGCTGTTGCCGATGCATAATGGGCATGTCCCTTGGAATCGAATATTGCGAAGGTCTGAAGATCCTTCTTGCGAAACCGGTAGAAGAATCGTAGGGAATTACCTGATGCAATGGCTTCATTGAATTCTCGGATATAGAGTGCGCTATCATCTGGATGTATAAAATCCACAATATATTTACCCGAAAGTTCCTCGGGCGCGTATCCAGTAAGACTTTGGCAGCTAGGAGAAGCATAAACAAATTTTCCAGTCGGAGTTAGGACGTGCAAAAAATCCTTGATTTCCTCAACCACCTTTTGTGGCCAATTTCTTCGTTTCGTAAAGTCCGTAAATGTGCTGCTACCGGGAAGTGAAGGTTGAGCACCGAAGCCTGTAGGTAAAGGTCCAGCCCCAATTTCTCCCATTTGAGCATCCTCAGTATTCATGCCAAGTCTTCCAATACCATCCCCTTGTTCGTTTTCAGTGGGCGACATCAAGTTGCTTATTGGTGTGAAAGATTCCGGCATGTTGCCATTGTCGTCAAGAGCATTCATGTTAATATTCAAATCAGGTAGATTATCGTAATCAATCATCAAATTATCTTGTAGCATTTCGGTCATTAATGCATCAGGTAAATTTTGGTCAGCCTACACTGAGGATTAGAATATAGATAGCGATTTAATCATAAGAGACGTCTCGAGAGAAAGTGTCGTACCTGCGAGGCTGATGAGGTGGACCCGAGGTTGTCTGCATGATTATGATACATGATGGCAGCAGGGTCCAGAGCCAAGTTATTCATATTCATCGACGTATCACCCTCAGACATTGCGAGCTTCTTGATAAATTTGTGGGCGCAAGTAGAGGATGCGTATTCAAGTTCGAAGAAGGTAATAGGAGTAGGTATACTGGTACGTATCGCCGAATGTGGTGCTGAGGCATTTAGCTTAGACAGCTGTTTTCCGAACTTGTAAGTTTTTTAATAAGAGGGGACGAAAGTAGGAAAGCTTTTAATTGAATGATGGGTTGAAGGTACCGATACTATAGTCATTTATAATTCTCATCTAATGACGAAAGAATGCGACAAGACTGACAAGACCGGGTATGGGAGAAGAGATGGGTAGATCAGTATTACTAATAAGGGTAATATTAATAAGGTATTATTAATAAAGTAGGGTATAATAGTATGGGGTATTGATAGGTTGGTAATATAGAATCTATCTATCTTATATACTAGTTATGGGTATTAATACGCCTTATTGATTGAATGCGGTTAGTAATTGTTTTCTTCTACAATACCGACCGACTAGCCGAAGTCAACTTTACCCTATAAGAGCACGTGACTACGTGGGCAAACGCGTTTCTTCCATCTTTCCATCTTCCATCTTCGCGTTACCTCTATACAAGTTTTAATCACAACAAGTCTTATCCACAACCCACCACTTGTCACCACCTATCCACACCATTCGCCATCTCATCGATTCCATATTTATTCTTCTCTTCTTCTATAGCGAAGCGAAAAGTCTTTCACGGCAGTAGCTCAGCGGAGCGTCTTATCCATTTGTCTCTCAAGTGGTATTCATGTTAATTATAACACACACACACACACACACACACACATATTTCTCATATTCACGCCAATACAAGCGGTCGCAAACGAAGAGGTAGCACTATTTTATTATCATCAACTTGGTACTCCCCATATCAATTTTGATTTTAGCGCTAACGTGCATATTCTATGCCATAGACATTATTGTCGCAATATATTCGCAATAGCACTTGACAGGCTGTGATAGTTTTATAAGTCAATAATATGTCGAAAATAAACAAGATGAGAATATGCGGGTGAGTGACATCGATGTCTACCATGTATTGGGTGGGATTAGTTGAGCTTACTGGTTTCTGTTCTTATAGGGTGCGGTCGTTTGATCACAAGGGCTGGGAGACGATCGCTTTCAATACCCCTTTGACACTCATCGTCGGATTCAATGGTTCTGGCAAGACTGTACGTACGATTGGCTTGCGGATCAACCCCAGAACTTAGCTAAGGTCTAGACAGACGATTATTGAATGCTTGAAATATGCAACCACTGGCGTACAACCACCGAACAGTAAGGTTGGGGGGGCTTTCATTCATGATCCTAAAGTACGTTGCTCATCAATTCCTCGATACGTTGTTATGAATGATACTTACTCAGATTAGCTCTGCGGCGAGAAGGAAGTATTGGCACAAGTCAAACTTTCTTTCCAAAGTACGACAGGAGCCAACATGGTCATCACAAGGAGTTTGCAGCTTACGGTTACAAAGACAGCGAGAAAGGTGAAGACCATAGATGCCGGGTTGATGGTCAATAATGGTGGCGAAAGAACTGCTGTGTCTCACAAAGTTGGAGAAATGGATAAGATCATGCAAGAAGCTTTAGGTGTTTCTGAAGCCGTTTTGGACAACGTTATATTCTGCCACCAAGATGAGTCATTATGGCCGATGAGCGAGCCCTCAGTTCTGAAGAAAAAGTTCGATGATATATTTGAAGCAACAAGATACACCAAAGCTGTCGATAGCCTCAAAGCTTTGAAAAAGGATTATGCTCAGCAGATCAAAAGTATGATGGCGGATGAGTCGATCGCCAAGGATAACAAGGACAAAGGAGAAAAGACTAAGAGTCGTTGCGAAGAACTGTCGGCTCAAATTGAGAAGTTGTCCGAAGAAGCATTAAAAGACAAATCCAACATGGAAGCAGTCCGAGAGGTGGTTGAAGCAAAGCAGAGAAAGGCTGGCGAAGTTTGGGACTTGGTTCAAAAGCTCAGGACCAACAAAGAGCGAGTCAAATTCAGTGTGGAGAATCTCGAATCGCTTCAAAAGAGAATTAAGCCACTTCTTGAATCGGATGAATGGCTCAGATCAACACTAGATCAATACGCGGATCGAATACTAGAAATGGAACAGCAAGATGAGCAGTTCCAGAAACAATATCGAGATCAGCAGCAGAAAATGTCAGCAAATACCAGTGAACTTGGTAAAAAGCAAGCAGACTTAGGTCGGCATCAAGCCTTGAAACAAGCCTATGAAGGAGAGCTCGAATCTCGAGTTCAGCTGGTCAAGAGTGCTGCATCTAAGCATTCTATTCGAGGTTACGATGACGACATCAACGAGTCTCGAGTAAATGAATTTATAGAGAGGATCAAAAAGCTCTCTCGTGACAAGGAACGTGACTTGGAGCGGGTTAAAGCAACCACCAATGACGAATTGAAAAACGTCCAGACAACATTGACAGAGCTTCAGAATCACCATGCAATACGTGTCCAAGAAAAAGTCACAGCCAAGCAGACAATTTCCACCAACGACAGGAAGGTGGGTCCTAAACAAACAGAACTCGGTTTCATTCAATTCGATGAAGGTGATAAAACCGGTCTTGAGTCCTCTCACATGGAGACTAAAGGCCTTTTGGAGAAGCTCAGAACTCAATTCGACGGTTCAAGCTGGGACAATCGCATTAGCACTAGCAATGGACGTTTGCGGGAACTTGAAGATGAAGAAAAGTCCTTAAGAAAGGAGGCTTTTGAGATCAACAAACGATCAAACGACCGCGCGCAACTTGATTATGTCACAGGTGAGTTGAAGAAGACCAGAGGAAAATTGGACACCATGAAGGCGACCCACGGCGCAAAGCTTGATTCCATTCTTGGTTCAGACTGGCAATTCAATACTCTTGGTAAGGACTTTCATCGTGCACTAGATAGGGAAAAAGATGAAGTCTCAGACGCAACAAACGAGCAAGAAGCCGCGAAAAAGTCCTTCTCTGAAGCAGGTTTCCGATTCAATGCACTCCGTGACGATCTAAAAGCTAAGAAGGATCAATCGAAGGCTTGTGAGAATGCCATACTCAATTCTATTCGGGATGAAGAGGACAAAGAACTAGTCAGCGTCGAAGACTATCCCAGGGAATTGAATCAGCTAGAGGAGGAACGTGATGAGGTCCGAGATCACATCGATGGGTTCAAGCACAAGATCGAATACTTTACCCAGTGCCTAAACACCATCCAGACGAAAGACATGTGCAAACTTTGCGAGAGGAAGTTTGCAGAAGAAGCACACCGCTCGGCCGCAATGAAGAAGATTCAGAAACTCCTCAACAAAGATGCTCGAGAAACTTTGCAGGGACAGTTGGAGATATACAATGAGCAGATCAAGATTGCAAAAGCAGCCCAATCACAGTATGACATATACCAATCTCTCAGGGATGAAATCCCCAACCTCGAGCAAGACATCATGAAGGCCGAGGATGAAAAAGCAAAATTCCTTGTAGAGGTCGAACACCATGACAGTATTGTTGAACGCAAAAACGCTAGACATAGAGACGTCGAGTCTCTGTCACATATAATATCCTCCATCATTAGATATAACAGTGATGTTACGGATCATGAGGCAAAGATCGATACCTTATCCTCACAGCAGAGTATTGCCGGAAGCGTCATGACTGCTGATGAAATTCAAGAACGTCAGACAACTTGCAGTGAGAGTATGCGCGAGGTCAGGGAACGATTGACCAAGACTTCATCTGAAAAGGATGCAGCCAAAGACAAGATAAACGATATGGAGCGTGATCTGTCTCGAAAATCCCAAAGACTTCGGGACGTTATTCACGGTTTGGCAAAGAAGCAAGCTTTGCGAAAGGAGATTGATGAACTTCTCGAGAGCAATGTACAGCAACGTGAAGCCATGAATCGTGCTGATAGTGAGCTGGAAACGTTGAAACCAAAGATTGACACTGCAAAGGCTAAATACGAAGATATTCAACAGCAAGGCCATGCAAAGGAAAGAGAATTCCGATCTCAAAAGGAAAAATTGGCAGACACCGTCCGTCAGTTTCTACAGCACGAGAAAAACATCAATGGATATATTGATAACAGTGGCCCCGAACAACTCGCTGCTTGCGAGCGAGCAATCAAATCCATTCAACAGGATCAAAAACGTATTAGCGAGGAACTGAACGGGATTACTACCGAGTTGAATGCTCTTCGTGCCAAAAAGAGTGATTCTGATCGGCTGAAGACAAACATTAGCGACAACATTCTATATCGCGAAGAATTGGCTAAACTGGAAGTGTACAAGAAACAAACTGTTGACTTAGAAGCACAAAATGTGGAAGGGAACTTCCAAACTTTGACAAAGGAGGCCGAGAAGAAGGAAGAAAGCTTCTACGAACATCGTCGCCTATTTCAGCAGAAGACAGCTGTTCTTGCAGAGAAGGACCAGAATTTGCAACAATACTTGGTTGATTGGGACCTTAACTACAAGAACGCACGAACGGAATATCGTACTGCTATGATTAAAGTGAAGACGACCAAGGCTGCTATTGACGATCTAGGCAAGATGATCACCGCTATGGACAAAGCAATTGTGAAGTTCCACAGTGTAAAAATGGAGGAAATTAACCGAATTGCTGGTGAACTTTGGCAGACCACCTACCAGGGTACGGACGTGGATACGATCATGATTCGTTCTGAGAAGGACGAGGGCGAGACCGCAGCTGGTAACAAGAAGACAAACTATAAGTATCGAGTTGTGATGGTGAAGCAAGATGTCGAGATGGACATGCGTGGTCGTTGTAGTGCTGGTCAGAAGGTTCTTGCCTGTATCATCATTCGCCTGGCGCTAGCTGAATGCTTCGGCATTAATTGTGGTGTAAGTATCATTTTTTATTCCCACGCTAGATCTACAACTAACGATCACAAAGCTCATTGCACTCGATGAACCCACCACGAATCTAGATCAAGACAACATCAAAGCTCTCGCCGAATCTCTTCACGGCATCATCAAATCCCGTCAACAGCAAGCTAACTTCCAACTCATCATCATTACTCACGACGAAGAATTTTTGAAGGTTATGCAGTGCTCTGATTTCTGTGATGATTTCTATCATGTTAGTAGAGATCAGGAGCAGAATAGTAAGATTGAGAAGATGCCGATCACGCAGGTCATGGAGGGTAATTAAGTGTATTTATATGTTGATGGAGACTTCATATTCCATTAGGAGATGGGATGAATGTAATTAGTTACATACACGGGGAACTATCTTTGGTGGTTAATAACGGATATGGAATGAGCATTTTGTATAGCTTGTATGTTAGCTAGGGTACAAATACCTTTAATGATAATGAGCGATGATAGATATGATTTATATGATATAATTCAGATGCGCACACATAGGTTGAATAATCATTGATTACATATACAAATAGATATATATTAGGGACTATTAAAGATGTATTCAACGGATTGATTATCTTGAAGAATTCCAGGGAAATAAATCATCCACGCTAATCTTCATACGACCAAAATAACCTAATCCACCTCACGTCAATCTGTCAAAGACAGCAAGCAGATAGTCACAGTCGCACTCGCAGTAGCAGTCACCTCAATGGGTGTTGATTAGTAAGTACAAAGTGAGATTTTGAGAGAGCTGCATGAGCGTGAAATGGAATTGAAAAGTGGATGATGATTTCTGAGGACTGATGACTCAGAATGGAGAAGGGATATTGAGGAGAGTTAGGTGAGATGGACGGGTAGGCAGGATGATTGGGGATGATTGGGGATGGAATGGAATGGAAAAAATGGGAAGCTGTGAAGGATAAAGACAATAGGGACTGGAACTTGAAGATGCCAAATTGATCTAGCTGACTGAACGAACAACGGGGGTGTTTTTTTTTTTGAATTGGTGTGTTAAGCTCAGGATTAACGAGTTTCACATACCTACCCACTTACCCAACCCGATGACTTGATGATTTGATTTGAAGAAGGCGAAATCAAGATATCAAGACAATGATAATTCTAGATAAAATAAGGAAGGAAAGAAAGAAAAAAAAAGAGGTGAATGATACCTAGTTTTCGAGAGATGAACAAAACAATAGAGTAGGATTTATGAGAAGAGCGCCTGAGACTTCCTTTATCTAAATGAATGTCTCCGAATAATTAAATGAATAATTTTGAGACTTGTACGAGTAGATGCGTAGAAAAGAAACTTCCAGGTTCTGGTTCTGTCTCTACCACATATGCCATAGATTTTGTCGACGGATTTTGTAGAAAAACAAATGCAGCGATCTAAAGGGCAAGAAAAAAAAACGGAATTCAATGAGAAAACCTGCAAAAAGACGGTTAGGCTTAATTAATGATCCAAATCACTGACTTTTGAGCGAGCCTATTCGGCGCTATAGCTTGACAGACGATATCGGCGAGGGGTTTAATTAAACCCTCTGTCTAGAGAGACTCTCCTGGCTGTACCCCCGGATCCACTTATTTTACCCCCAGAATCCTAATTGTCAAAGTTACCCGCTTGGCCAGGTTTGGGTGCGATGAGATTTTTTGTTTTTTAGGGGAGGAGATCTCTCAAGATACAAGTAGTCGAGAACAAGATACTAACGTGCGTCCTTGTAATTAAGCTGTTAGAATACAACGAGATGAGACTTCCAACACACCTATAACATCCCATCCATCACCCCCAGTCCATATATATCCCATTCGCCACCTAGATCCATCCAGAAAGTTTGCTCATTAGATACATCCCGCAAATTCATATCCATTTCGTCTAACACTGGCATTATATCCTCATTCACCCGTGCATTTACCGTTCCCTCCAATTCAGCATCTCTTTGCGTCAGCGTTTCTCCCTCAGAAACATCTTCATTCACCACCTCACCACCCCCAGCTTCCAATGCATTCTTATCCACTCTAAACCCATCTCCCAACGGCGCAGGCCCAGCTCCACCCCCGTATGCCGCAACTCTCTGATCATACCAACCCCTCACCAACCTAATTTTCCTTGCAAACTTATCAAAACAATCTGTCCAGCCCTCTCCCACCCGTCTCCCATCACTATCTACCTCTGCATCTTTCCCCCATTCTCCATCTTCAGTCGTGATATTGATATCCACAAACTTTGCCCTATCATTCCTATCTGCAAGTTCTTTCAACACCCATGAGAGATCGCAGACTTCGCGGACAAAATCAAGGTTCCAGGAGGGGAGGAGTGGGTTTTGGTAGAAGGAGAGGCGTGCGAGGATCATGAGGGCGTAGGCGAGAAGGGACCAGGGGGAGATGGGTTGGCTTAGATAGCTTGAGGATGGGAGGGAGAGGATTAAGTCGAGGAAGGAACGCGTGTGGTGAAGGCAAGTGTAGAGGGATTGGACGTGGGAAGGGTGGAGAGGTGGTGGGTGGATTGGTCGGGCTATTGAGGTGGTTTGAGGGGATTGGTTAGTGTTTGTGGGGGTCCAGCCATTTGTTAATGCGACTTCGTAGAGACGGATAGCAGAAATATGGTGGTGGAGTTGAAGAATCACTAGCAAAACTCGTTAGCCATTTCATCATGACAAATGCACCCTAGAGATAGAGACACGAGTGAACTTCAAAAGATAAGAAACGAACTACATACCATCATCTCCCCAAGCAACAGGAACTCCTTTTTTCAAGGCATCAAGCTCCGTCTGAAATGAACCCAATTTCAGCGCAGTAGGAACTTGAATTTCACTTTCATTCTGAACAATTAGAACAGTATGCCCAATTTTCTCTCCGAGATGTGATATCTTCACCAGCTCAACTAGCAATAGATCAGTAGGATATTCGGGTTTCTTCTCAATAACCCGAATACATTCATCGAGTTGTATCGAGTATTTCATAGCATCTATACGCTGAAAGCCCGTTGCAACCCTTAATCTAGGTTAGCAAGTATGCAATAAGAGGAAATACGTCGTCCAACTTACAGGGAGGTGAGATAGAACAATCCAGCCAGGGCTCTTCTCTGCTCCATACTCCTCCTGGAGAAATCTCCCGCCGTGGCTCTACTATGACCAAAGGGATATTTGAATCTATCCGACGACGGTGGTTTGTTCAGCCCCAAATCGCCAGCAAGTCCCATTGCTAAGCCAAGCAGATTGTTTAGGTGTGGATGCCCTAGACAATGATAATGATACCTAATCGTCGAGCTGCGTTAGTACAATTGCTTTTCCAGTTTTGGTGTGGCTTTTGATATTCCCCAATAACGAAGGACTATACCCTCTTGATACACTTTAGATCTTCAACTACTAAGACGACAAACAACATCAAGCGACAACCAGACTCCATTACTGTTCCACTAAACCGGATCAAAAAGGAGAGGAAAAAAAAGACAACTCACCACCCACAAAACACCAGAATCGTCTGCAGCAACTCCAACGTCTTCTCCCTCTTCACCATGATCCTCTCCGTCAACTCCCTAACCAACGCCGTCTCATAAACCGTCTGTCTCGGCAAGTTATAATAACTCGCCGCCATCAAAACCGCCTTCCCTAGCACCGGTTTTCCCCGCACCCATTCCTTCCCCGCCAACCCTCCCGTCTCAACAACCACGAACGGAAATCTCGCCATCATTTCCGTCTGGTACAGTTTTATCAATCTTTCAATTTCCGCATCATTGGGTTCGAGATCCGAATTGGCGTGAGCAAGGAGACATGCATTGGTGCTTTTTTCGTAGATCGATTGGCGTTTACTTAGTTCGAGAGGCTTGGGGGGTGGATGAGCGATGCTTTGATAGGAAATTGTGCTTGAGGGTTCTGATTCTGAGAGAGGTGGAGATCTGGGAAGGATATTTTCATGGGTGACAAGTGGGAAAGATCCCGGCGTTGCATCTTGGGACGTGACGCCTTTCTGCTGTTGAAGAAGTGAGACGATATCGTCAAGTTTCCCTTCTAATTGTGCAACCCGACTAGAGTTATCGTATTAGACTCGACAATGATGTATGGCCTTGTGGAATAACTAAACCATACGTAGTCTTTTGAGGTTTACGAACCCTTATACAGGGAGTTTGCGTTGCGCAATCTTTCTTCAGACGATAGCATCTACCAGGATTAGTAATTTGAATCTAAACAATGGTAACCAATGAGTTAGTTATACACACCTTTCACATTTCGCATTTGATCCTCCTGATCGTGGTACACATTTGGCTTTTGCTAATGCACAAGTCCTGCATGCCCGGGAGCTTGGGAGACTTTTACCTATATGATTGGTTGTCGACGACATAAAGTATTCCTAGATTTGCTTGCTTTTATCAAATATATTGTGCGCTTCGATTATGAGCGGAATAGAAAAATGTATTCCTGACCCGTTGCCGTTGGGATTTTCGTCTTTAAAAGGTAGGAGGCTGTGGGGCGGGACCGGGGCAAACTCACGATTCCGCTCCCGGTCCTCAAACATCACAATACCACCCCCTTACAGGCGTATGAATACACCGAGAGGTCTGATAACAAGCGACAGCAAAAAAACAAGCAATCATAATTCAAAATAACACCGGTGAAATAGTATTGCGATGGAAACAAAATCTTGAGTTGATTTAGTCTATCTACTAGCAGCATTAAAACTTTCAATGCTCGACGAAAAGTAAGAGCAGAGGGTATGCCAAATTCAGTCATGTAAAAAAAATTCGTTACGCCTCGTCCCGCGAACCTTCTCCGGATTCCCCTCTTCGAAACGAACCTCCCCATAATTCTCATACTCGATTTTGGATGGCGAAGTATGTGAGGGTGGCTCTGAGAGGAGAACATTATTGTGCCAAACGGCATAACGCTATTCAGAATTGGACTAGCTCCTATGAATCATAAAAGTCCAGGTCAGCCCATATGGATGTCGGATAAGATTTTGTAGTTGAATAGAGCAGACGGAAATCATGTAGCAGGAGCTGGAGTACCACGTGCGGCTTGCTCATCGGCGCGAATGGGTGCAAAGAATGGATGGGCCATGGCTTCCTTAGCGGTCAAACGTTCCTGATGACATGTTAGCATATGCAAAAACAACGATCATATACTGATGCATACTTGGTGGTCGTATCGGAGAAGTTTATCCAAAAAGTCGATAGCCTCATTAGTAACGAATCGTTGGTTCTCGGCATTGACAAAGCTGTGCCAGTTCTTCTTCGGGAATCTGCCTAGGATATCGTCATATTGTGCGTCGAGCTCAATCTCATATTTGTCGAGGTAGTCGAATAAATCTTCCGTACCGAGGACCTTGGCAATCTTGACCAATTGATCCGAATTACTGTTTCCGTGAAAGAATGGTTCCTTTCGGAAGATCATCGAAGCGAACATGGCACCTAATGACCACATGTCCAAGGAGTAGTCATATTCCTGGAAGTCAACGAGCAATTCAGGTCCCTTAAAGTATCTTGATGCAACTCGAACGTTATACTCTGTGCCTTGATGATAAAATTCCGCAAGACCCCAATCGATGAGTCTCAACTAGACCCTAAATGTCAGTCAATGCATCTTGCAGCTGGCGGCAATCCTACCTTTCTGTTCTCATGGTCAATCATCACATTGTGAGGCTTCACATCTCTGTGCATGATGCCTTTGCTGTGACAATAGTCCAATGCCTATCAACATTAGCAACTTCAAAAACCTATCCACGATTCGGACGCCAAACCTTCAAGAGCTCATAAATATAAAATCGGACATCGTAATCCACAAACTTAGGGTAAAGGCTTCGGAAGTCGGTGTTGTTGACGAATTCGAAGATCAACGAGGGTGTTTTGCTCTGCATTAAATATGAGTCGTCATTTTCTCTCTCAAGGGGTTCTTCAAGACCGGTGAGCGCCGATTTTCCATTCTTCCCACTTTTGAGAAGAACATCGACCGGAGTAGTAGGAAATGTATGATTTACTTGACTGTCCCTAACAACATCAAGGAGGGCAACGATATTTGGACCTCCTGACAAGTTCTGTAGGATCTTGATTTCCCTCTTAATCTTCTTCTTCTTGACTGGCTTCAACACCTTGATAACACACTTTTGGTAGTTGGCGACATTGATTCCCTCAAAGACTTCCGAGTATTTTCCTCGTCCTACACGGGCACACATCCGAGTGTCAGTAACCAGCACACATAGCCACGGGCGGGTAAAATCAAAATAAGCCTTGGGGAAGGAGGTATTGCCGACTTACCAATCTTGCGCACAACTTCATAGTTCTCCAACACGCCCCAGGTAATGTTCACGCTATCATAATCCCAATATGACCGTGGCATCTGCTGATTGACATCCGCGTAGACACGAGCCATTTTGCGGCCAGCCTGCTATGGGAAGGCGCAGCGCAAATCGTTTAGAGGCTGCCCTTTTGTGACGTTCGAGCTCCGGAGTGAGTCGCCGAGTAATAAGACCTTGAATGTTCGACCGGTTGGTTCTGGTCGAGAATATCAGGATGACCTTGTACGATGTCGTAGAAAATAATGATCTGATGTTGATGTGCTACGAATTCTTGGTGGATGGCTAAGACACCCCGCGCTAGCGCAGGAGTTATTTTCTGTTGGTGGTAGTGTGGCCTTAAATAATAGGCGGGTAACAGCCTTTTTTTAGACTTTGCCCAAGGCTGAATGATGAATAATAACTAACTACTCAACTTTCACGAGTATTCACGTATTCACCGGATTCTGTTTTGTTTCAATTTGAAAGACTATTGCAGAACAATCTGTAAGAGGACGAGGAAGGCAAAAAGAAATAACAAACAGCAGAAACAACGCGAACATGCTCTACGATCTCAATATTCCTTGGTCATCAAGTAAAGACTCTCTTGATCTCCAAAGGACTATTTCCTTCCTTTCAGAATTAGGTTATGGCACCATAGCACTCAATCACATCCATAGCGGACCACTTCCTTCCAATATAATCAATCCAATACCCACGACCTTTCCCTTCACAGTTCCGTCCAAAACTGTAATTCTCCGCCGCTGCACCCTCGTTCTCTCCGACCCCTCTCTCAATCACCGTCTCTCAGCCATTTCACCCGCCTACGATATCCTCGCTATCCGCCCTACCACCGAAAAGGCTTTTCTCGCAGCATGTCTCAATCTGACGGAGCATTCCCTCATCTCCCTCGACCTCACACAACGATTCCCATTTCATTTCAAACCCAAGCCTCTCATGGCAGCTATACATCGCGGCATCCGATTCGAGATATGTTACGCGCAAGCCACGATGGAAGATTCGAATGCGCGGAAAAACTTCATAAGTAATTGCTTGGGGATATTCAGAGCTACGCGGGGCCGAGGGATTGTGATAAGTAGTGAAGCCAAGACTGCATTGGGTGTGAGGGGCCCAGCAGATGTGGTTAATTTGATGGCGGTATGGGGACTGGGGAGAGAAAGAGGTATGGAAGGATTAGGTGACAATCCAAGATCAGTAGTCATAAATGAAGGCTTGAAGAGAAGCTCGTTCAGAGGAGTCGTGGATGTGATCTACGGCGGGGAAAGGAGTGCCGCCAAGGATACCGAAATTAATGAGGCACGGAAGAATAAAGCAAACAATGGGGGAAAAGGAAAGGGTAAGAGAAAGGTCGAAGATACGGAGGCGAAAGAGAATGAGCCACCTCAAATAAGCAAGAGACAGGCAAAGAAACAGAGGATGGAGACACTGAAAGCCGCTGGATCCAATCCAAGCTCATCCAAAGAGACAACCCCCTCGGAAGAAACGACTTTCACAGTTATAGATACTCATAATATAATAAAAGCGAAAGCAAATAGTTGATTTATAATTTTTGGGATATTTTTTCTGTGGCATCGTTTTTGAACATATATTTACAACGAATTTGGTATCTTTGGGGAATCTAACCCTATGCAATCTGATATTACTTCTCTTTTGACTCCTTTAATTACTATATTTGAGCATGAAGCCTCGTCTTCAGACCGATGTCGACACAGCAAGATTACCAAGGACTAAACTGCTGGACAAGGAGAATGTGTTGATATCCACAGGACTTGGTTGCGCGACTTGTGCAGCTCCAAGTACAGGAGCTGATGATGCGCCCGCTTGCGATACAGCCGATGATACAGCCGATGTGGTGACGCTTGCTACGGTGGCTCCCTGGATCGCCGCCTGAGATAGTGCGGTGCTAGCTGATGCTTTAGTTGTAGCTGTTGTAGCTCCCTGAATCGCCGCTTGAGATAGTGCGGTGCTAGCTGATGCTACAGTTGTAGCTCCTTGCATGGTAACTTCGATGCCGAGTTAGTATGGACGCGGCATTTCAATGTAATTTCATCATACCTGATACCATCATGGTAATTGTTTGCATCATAGTCATAGTGACCATTGATGTGACCACCGACATTTGCGTAGCCATCATAGTAACCATTACTTGCTCGGTTACTGTTTGGGTAATCATTTGAGGTATGGGGGTTACGGTGACGGTAGGCGGAGCGCCGGATGCAAAGACGGTCGAAGTGAGGAAAGAGAATTGGCCACTGAAAAAGTTAGTCACAATCTTTATCAAAAGACCAAATCCAAATCATCATACCCAGTTCCTGCAGCCTGTACAGCAGCTCCCTGAATGCTTTTCGTGACAGTCATCGTCATTGTGATCTCCTTCGTCACCGCTGCCGCCGTCACTGTCTTCACCGCTGCCGCTGCCGCTGCCGCTGTCACTGTCGTCACCTCTCCCTTTCCACCTTGTGCTCCTTCGAGAGCCGCAATGATATCACTCAAATCTTTAGGAACATGTTGATATCCCTAAACTATCATCAGCCACCATGCAATCCACAATTTCAGATGCTCCTCAATTCATACCTGTGCAAGACTTGCCCACCCCACTACCACCAATAACGGTGCCCTTAAAAAGCCCTTCATCCCTCTTCTCCAAGTGTGCCGTTAGAATAGTGTGGTTTTTAATCTTCTGTTCTGAGACTATTGCAGTAAAACTTAATGAACGTCACCAACAGCCCAGCCGTGGTATGAATAAAAAGATAAGAAGAGATTGAGTGAGCGTGACCTGCAGCTGCAGAATTATAATTGATTAGATGACAAGAAATTTTAAGAAGAAAGTGCTCAGATGATAAAAGATTCAATGTGCGAAGTAGAAACAGATATGCATACAACTCTAAAACCGTGCATCAACGAGACGACTTGGCGCTATGATTGAGAATTGAAGCAACCGCGGTGCGTGGTCCTAGATGTAGATCCTCGACACCAGTAGGAGAAGAGTATTATGGAGCGGGAATATGGGATCGTGGCGCCATCATACTTACGAACTGCTAGGCTTTGTGATCTAATCTTGTATGATCTGGGTTCACCATATCCGCATTCACAACACATTACACGAAAGATTTCAAGGGTCCCTGCGGCACAGCCGATTGAAAGAAACTCTTCACGCATAACATAAAGTTTAGGAAACTCAGTGAAATAACAAATGACTAGTGCATAAGTACACTTTGCAACTTGCAAGTGGTAGCTTAGGAAACTTTTGATAGAATACCGGTAGTCACCACTGTTGAGGATGTAAGAGATGAGAGAATCTCAAACGTCAGAGAGGTTTTGAGGCATGGGGGGAAGGGGCAATCCCAGACGTGTGGGGTTTCAACCTAGCTTGGCGGCGTGAGAATTTCCAGACCCGTTGTACAAAACTTCATATAAGGTAGTCCAAATATGTTGTCCAATGAGTAGCATGGATTTTTGAATGCAAAACAAGCTTTATAGATATTTGGGCGATGTTCCCTTGGGGTTGTGGTGGAAGGGGGTATCAGAATTGTCCATAACTCGCGAAGGATTTCCTGATTACGTTGGATTGTTTAACAGATTCCATTCCCTCGGTAGTCACGGAGTTCTTCGCAATCCGAACATTCTTCACAACCTTGATCCTACAGTATTGGATGTTAACATTCAAAGGACAGTAGGTACCTACGTTGACTACCTAGAATCTGGATATAGGGTTGGAAATATATATATGAGGGAGTATATTATCATGTCCCATCCCATATATGTAAAGTCCGGTATGAGATCAGTAGTAGGAATACTACTCGTATGTATATCAAAAAGCAATCCAATCTTTCAGCCTTGCATTAATGAGCAACAGGAGATCGTCGGGGTTATACTTAGCTTCCAATTAATAATTAATAATCACCATCTATCTAACCTTATATCTATATCTAGTACGTCATTACTGAACACAGCCTTTCGATTTCACTGATGTTTCAACGATGAAGGGGGAAATCGATATACTAATAAGAGGACTTTATCAAATCATTAACCCTAATACCCTACTAGTCAACTTAAATACAGGAACTACTTACGAGATCTACCAGCTTATTAGCTCATATCAACCGTGACACGGCCGGCAGGAGGTAGTGACTTGTCATTCCATATTCAACATAACATAACATATAACTTTCAATAAAATTGTTTTATATCTACTATTTCCTTTATAAAGATTTCTTCAGCATTCGAAAAATTGTATTATACAACAGATAAGGTCATATCGAGTACATCCAGTAGGGTATTTCCAACATGACGGTCGTCCATGTTCTAGATGATTATTATCTTGCAATAACACTGTTCATTACAATTGCATATCAATTGTTCTTCTTCTCCATTGCCTTTTCTCTCAAATTCGATAAACTCACAGGTCAGATATATATAATCGAGTATGTCTCGACAAGTCTTCCATCAACTAACATGCATTTCAGACTTTGCTGGTGGAACAAACTTTGTTGTACTTGCTATCATAACACTTGCATTCAGTGGTCATCACAATGCACGCCAAATCGTTGCCTCCCTCTTTATTATGATATGGGGAGCACGCCTTTCAGCTTTCCTGTTATTCCGAATTTTGAAGACTGGAAAAGATGATAGATTCGATGATAAGCGTGACAATTTCTTCAAATTTCTTGGGTTTTGGGTGTTCCAAATGTTTTGGGTGTGGACTGTTTCATTACCTGTCACACTTTTGAACTCCCCAAAGGTCACGCAATTTCCACAACCCGCGTTTGGGACGGTTAGTGATATTGCTGGAGTCATTCTCTACGCCATTGGTATTGTGATGGAAAGTGTGAGCGATATTCAGAAATATCTCTTCAAGGTTCATAACAGCGATAAGTCGAAGGTTTGTGACAAGGGATTCTTCTCATGGAGTCGCCACCCAAACTATTTTGGCGAGATTATCATTCAATTTGGTAGGTTGCTCCCTAAATATCGGTCGGATCTCGCTAATGAATTGTAGCTATCTATATGATCGCAGTCTCGCCCGCTGCTGAAGGCTATGTTCATGGCGGAGCTCGCAGAGCTCTCTATGCTTCAGTCGTTGGTCCATTGTTCCTCACTATTCTCCTAATGTTCGTATCCGGCTTGACACTCCAAGAGAGACCTGGAGCCAAGAAGCGATACGAGAAGAACAATCATTGGGAGGAATACTCGCGCTACCTAAAACGAACGAGCATTTTAATTCCTTTCCCACCTCAACTTTACGAGAAGATGCCCACGATACTTAAACGAACGATCTTCTTGGAATTTCCTATCTACGTATTCGATCCAGCAAAACATTCTAATATTGGGCAAGGCCAGCATGGCGCGGAGGAGGGCCATCAGTCACACGGAGGAGATCGACAAAGTACTGATCGTTTGGCTCAATGAGATTAAATCCACCGACTTGACATAACGATGTTCATTGATGACTTATCTTAAACATGAAGATTTACAAAGGCGAAAGCGTTTGTATTGTGTTGATTGATCTTCATGTATAAATCCCCTCTTTCTGAGACCTCTCTTTCTTTCAAATCGCCATTTCTGCCGGGAAAGAGCTCACATTTTGGGTGCCGGCGCAAATTCTCCAATACTCATGTATATACTCGAAAACATTATTTAAAAATTCACAGATCATCAATCTTCGAAAGCGCAACCTCAGATTCTGAATGAAGTTACAAGTAGCTCGTCATGTGATGACGATGATGATGACTCAAACAACAACAAGCAGTCATCCGTCCCATGCATGCATCTCCCACCTTAATATAAGGTCAAGACTGACTTTCCAAAGCTTCTTATATATGATACATACACCTCCAATCTCTCTTCATTCTTCCCCATGATTTTTTTGTCATATTTTGTTCAGCTGAAATCCGATCCGATCAGATCCGATCAATATCGTATATCCTTTCCTCCTCCCTTGAGAGTACAGTACCATATTAAATTTCTCCGCTCTACTCACTCAAATCACTCACTCACCCAATCACCCAATCACATCACTCACTCACATCACATCACATCACTCGCTCATATCAATCAATCACATCCATCATCATCACCATTCAAACCCCGGTAACAATATCATCGCCGCCAGCAAACAGTAAAACAAGCAAGTAATCATGAACGTCTCCTGCGAATGTCAAAACGTCGTGTTCAAAACTCCGCTGCCGAAACCTTTGGCTATTTATATTTGTCATTGTAATTT